CCTGCCTTTACCATGCTTGGTTCTTACCAGAGAGGGCAGAGTGAAGCTGCATGATTGCGTGTAATTACATTATCTAAAGCTAAAAATGTTTTTTCTCTCTCTTCCTCCATGAATGTATCAATTCTGCAGCAATACTCTAGCTCCACTGACTGATCTAAAGTAGGAATTGGTGTCTCCTGGAAATATGCTTCCTATAAAAGTTACTCTATTGAAATCCTTGCTGAATCTCTTTCTGTTATTAATATAAGTTCATTGCATATTTTGTTTATATAGATGGCAATTTACACTGTCCTTTTTCTTACAGGTTTCCACTATATTTTACTGTTTTATGGTTGTGAAATGGATTTGCTTTTCTTAATAATTTTATTATTACTATTACAGAATGATTAAAAGAAGAAAGACAATGAAGCTGATTCCCTTGAGAATGAATGGGATCCTGTCAACATGTCAGGAAGCCACATGCTAAGATACCCCCCCCCCCAAAAAGTCCATAACATTAAGCAGCTCTATATCTGTGAACCCCTGAGTGATTTTGAGAAAGGCATTTGGTTAAAACTGTTTTCCACACTCCATCTTCTTCTGTAGGTAAATTAAGGGCCAGATTGTGAACCTGTTGCTCACCTCAATAAGCAGTTTCTGACAAAACTAATTCCATTGATGTTAATGCAATTGCTTGTGAAGTGTTCACAGTCTGGTCCTAGATTTTGATTATAATGAGTTTAGCAGTTCCTCATCTTACTTGATCTAGCTAATTTGTATAGTGTTGTAATTTTTCAGTATATTCACTCCTGAATTAGCCAATCAACGGGGAAAAAAGATATTTTATAAATCCCCAAAATGATTAATTCCATTGTGTGAAATGTAAAGAGATTTTTAGAACTATTACTCAAAACATAACCAATAAATGGTTTATTTGATTTGGACCACAACTGCCCAGAAATATAAATCTACTTCTTTATCAATGGATGGAATGGCTGAAAGGGAAGTTGTGAAGGTTGGGAAGATGTACTACTTATTTGCACGTGAGACACAAATTTCAGACATGTTTGTACCTGAATACTTGGATGCTAATATTTAAACTGTATTCTTAAATGTATTCACCCAAATTTGGGTTATTGCTGATTATGTACTATATGTATCTTATGACTTTAAAAACAAACTTTGTATTTGTGGATAAACTAAGCACTATGCCCAGATGTACAGACACTCTTTTCTTAACCTGTGCACTATATATTCTTTTAACATTAGCTTTAATGAGAGAGAATTACAAGAACATTAAGTGATTTACTGACAGTGTTCCAAACTTCCCAGTACACTCCTTCATTTAAGTATTCCAATTAATTTGGTTACTTTTTTTAGAACAATCTATTTATCATTGATGTTAAATAGTAATAACACAGCTGAGTGGTATGCAAACTACGCTGTGTTGTTCAGAATTATGCATAATATGTTGCAACACCTAATTATCTGTGCATGGGTGTAACAATCGATAAAATACGGATATAGACACATTTTGACAATATTTGTATTGCCATTTAATACTTCAACTGTTCCATTAAATGCAAAATCATTAGAACTTTTCAGGGCTCAGTCTTTCTATTCTTCCTCTGCTCCAAAGGAGTTGGCACAAATATTTTCTGAAAGCCATTGCTCAGCATGGTGTGTAGACTCTGAAGTGTCTATTCAAATCTATCTTTGGTTTTATACCACACTCATCACCATGGTATCAAAGTCAGCGACCGAATAACCAAATCTGTCACTGCGACAGGCATGTGCTTTTCTACATGCTGTGCCCCAGCTTTATCTTCCAGGCATGGTTTAGGTGAAATATATTGAAACACAATAGCTCAGAGTCCTTTTACATTTTATCAGAAGAAAAGATTTCCACGTTGGTGCTAAAGCTGTTAAATTAATTGTGCTCAACTGTATTCACAATAAAGCATATAAATGTGCCTACTAAGCTATACAATAGAGTATTTTTTAGGTTGCATAAACTTTAGTCATCTTCACAATTACTGTCATTAATATGTGTTGTTACAACCTTCTTCTTCTATTCCCCATGATAACAGAGTCAGTGACAATGTGAATTTCTTGAAAAAAAGGTTATTTTGGAAGTGGCTGCTTAGTGTCGGAAGTGAATTCCTAAATTACCTTGCCAGATACCTTTTGATTATCACGTCACATAGTAAGCCTACTGTGAGTCAGAATGAATTATCTGACATTTCCTGATCATATGGTAAAATATATCAGAATGTAATTAATAACACCAGTGCATTCACTATTTTTAACCAACTGAGCAACAGAAGCAACTCTCCTAGCACTCTATCCATGCTGTTATTTCTCTTCTGCGGGGTTATTTCCTGAGTTAGGCAAAGAGCCTATGTCTCCAAGTAGAGTCTTGTAAAGCCCTGTAGCAAAGTCACTGCACTGCAAAGTCAGGCTGAAGAAGTGGGTTTTTAGCAGGAAGAAGTGGGTTTTTTACCCATGAAAGCTTATGCCCAAATAAATCTGTTAGTCTTTAAGGTGCCACCAGACTTCTCATTGTTTTTATAAAAGATAGTACCTCATCCACCTTCTCTTAATACCCTGGCACCCACACAGCTACTGCACTGCATTCCAGTCGCACAGGCACTGTACACCCTTGTAAGTGCAGTCTACTCCTGCTAAGTAGGGGGTGAAGCCTATAAAGCCTCAGTGGGAAACTGTGCACCTTCAGGAGAGTAGGGACAGCTGCTGCCTACACCTCATGCAGTCTACTCAAAGGTAGGTGGCTTTTTATGCTCCCTCTGCCACTGAATTATCCAGGCTGTGGCTTTAGTAGTAACTCAAATAAAAATTAGAGATCAACCTCAGCTAAACTTTATCCCCAGGTTTGGTTGTTCCCAGGGTTTCCTTGCAGGACCTCCTCTCTTCCAGCCAGTAGTCCCCACTGCCTCTTTGGGGAAAAATCCCAGCCATTCATATATCCTTCCTGGATAGAGTTGACAAGATGTTTCTGCTGCTATGGCCCAGCAGTTATTACCTTGTCTTTTATGCAGGATTTGTTGGGATGGTTCACAGAGGAGCTGTGTCTGAACTCAATCATCTTGTTACAGAGATATACTATGTAGAGCTGACCAGGATTGTCTGGGCAGGTATATAAAATAGGTTTCCAGCTGATTTTTGGAGGCAAGGTTCTTTTGGGCAGCTGAGCATGCAAGATCTAGGCCAGGGGTAGGCAACCTATGGCAAGCATGCCAAAGGTGGCACGCGAGCTGATTTTTAGTGGCACTCTCACTGCCCGGGTCCTGGCCACCAGTCCGGGGGGCTCTGCATTTTAATTTCATTTTAAATGAAGCTTCTTAAACATTTTTAAAACGTTGTTTACTTTATATACAACAATAGTTTAGTTATATATTATAGACTAATAGAAAGAGACCTTCTAAAAACATTAAAATGTATGACTGGCACCCGAAACCTTAAATTAGAGTGAATAATGAAGACTCAGCACACCACTTCTGAAAGGTTGCCGACTCCTGATCTAGGTGCTGTACTCTGAGCGGCAGTCGGACCTCTAACCCCCGGCCGGTACCTCCCAGTAGTGGGTTCAATAAGGCCCCCTCAACGCTTTAATACGCTGTACAGCCCGCACCAGACCCTCACGTCTGCAATGACTGCTCCCGGTGATGCCGACACGCCTGCAGCAAAGCAGTAGGGATGTTTGTGACACAGCGGTAGGCTTCACAAGAGCACCTCAAGCACAGCCTCTGAGAGAGGTCTTAATGGACTTAATCCATCGGGAGCCTGGAGAGAACTGCGTAAAATAATGATAGAGGGGCAATACAAGTTGTTCAAAGCTCCCCAACGTATTGCATATGGCTGGATGTGCAGCTTCCCACTCCTCAGGGACCGCATGATGTGCCACTTCATGGAAACCTTTCAGAAACACATTGAAACGGGGGATCGGTCGGTGTCAAACGAAGGCAACGTTAGCAAACCCTTTGCGGACCCGCACCCTTTTCATGTTGCCATCCCTCCCTGTCCCGTGAATGATTGAAGAGCGTTTCCGTGCATGACTTCTTCCCACCGCCGGGTTCCCAGCACACAGCTAATGTCTGATTTCCACTCCCGCCGCACCCCTCCACATGTGCGCGGAGCTTTCAGGCTTTCGTGCACGCAGCCTGCTAGGCGACTTTCTATAGGGCCATCATTGTTTTGCAGTTTTAACGACGGGCAGAGCGTGCCGCTAAACGTTACCCACACACAGCGCAACCTCGATCACAGGCTCCTGGGTGCATCCCAGAGACCCAAGTCAGGCCGGTGAAAGCTAAAGGATCCTCCTTCTCTTCCCCCACAAACGGCCCAGGCTCGCTTCCTATTGTTGAATTTCCAGCTTATTTATACTGGGGGGCGGAGGGGGGGAGTTGTGGCAAGCTGGTGCCAGCCGCGCCCTCGCTATGTCAGCGTCTCTCAGTGTGAAATTGAAGGTGAAAGAAGAGGGGGGCGGGGAGGGGAGAGAGGCGGGGAAGGGGCGGGCCGGAGGAGGGTGGCACGCACGCGCGGTGGGAGCTCGGGGAGAGCCCCACGCGGGTGCTCCCAGAGCCTCGGCAGCGGCTCTCTCAGTTCAGCAGCGAGGGGGGCTTCGGCTGGAGCCAATGAAGAGTGACTGAGCTGCGCCCGGGTTGGCGGCACAGGCACCCCGGGCGGCGGGCGGAGGAAGAGCAGCGGCTGCTCCGGTTCCCTCTCCCCGGCGCTCCCCGAGCTGCCATGGGTTAAGGGGAGAAGCGGAGAGCGAGGAGCGGGGAACAATAAACCTGCGGCTGCCGCCGGTGCGGAGCGCGGCTCCTGCTGCTGCCCGAGGGCGAGGAGGAGGATGCGGGGCGCGCCGAGCTGAGCCCGGAGCCGAGAAGTGGCCGGAGCCGGGCGGGGAGGAGGAAGAAGTGAGGGGAACGGGGGTGGATGCTTTTTGCCGCTGCCCCGGTGCCGGAGCAGCAGCGGCGGCGGCAGGGGAAGGAGGCGGAGGAGAGATGATCGCAGAGTTGGTGAGCGGCGCCCTGGGGCTCGTCCTGTATCTCAACACCCTGGGGGCGGATTTCTGCTACGATGACAGGTAGGTGGTGCGGGGGGGAGCCGTGCAGCCTGGCCGCACCGGGAGCCCCAGGAGAGCGCGGGGGTCTGGGAACAACTTGGGCAGCAGCCCCCGCGGCTCAGCGCTGGCGGAGCCTCCTCTGCTCCAAGCGCCTTCCGCAGGCGCGAACACGGCTCCTGTCCGGGCTCCCTGGCGGGGCCAGGGCGGAGGGGACGCGCTCACCTGTTGATGGAAGGGTTAGGCAGATCCTTAGTCTGCGGCATCTTCAGCGTTAAATGCATCCCTCGCCACTTTTTTGCCTAGCTAGCATTGTTCGGTGCCTGCCATAGACCAGCCCTCTAATGCCCAAGCTGCCCCGCTGTCAGGACTCGTGTAGATCAAATTTGTTTATTCTAAACAGGGAATTAAACAGCAAGAAGAGAAAACAGAAAAGCGGTGTGGGCAGGGGGCAAGGCGAGCTGCTGGGTGTCCTAACAAACTGCGACTTTCTCTGACACCCCCCCCTCCCCGTTTGCAAGCGCTTAAGTTTTGGGGAACGGAAATCTCTGCTCGGTGGGCATTGAGTGCATGAACGTTGTGTGTGTATATATGTTACTGTTTGTGTTTGCATGTGTGTGTATATATTTTACTTAGTATAACAAAAACCCATTAAACGATGTAACGTCTGGGCTGGGAAGGAAGATTCACCCCCCCCCCCCCGGTCTCCGTAATAGATCTCTTCCCTCCAGTGATTCCTCTTGTTTCTGTGACAGTCTGATTTCCGGAGCATTTGACAGAGAGCACACACACACACCGCTGCTTTAACTTTGCACTGTACTTATTGCAAGTGCATACTGCGTGTGTGTGCAGTGCCCGCTGAAGATCTGATGAGCAGCGCTTCTAAACGCATTTAGTTTTCATTTTCATTGTGCAGCTTTAGTTTGTGTGTTCAACATTCCTTTATGCTAATTAGCAAAGATGAAGTCCCTGGGGCTTGAAGTTGTCTTTTGCATTCGGGTTAGTTTGGGCAGCTAATGAGACCTGAACTGTGTTGTCAAAGAAACTGCATCGATTGCTGGAAAATGTCATGGTTGTGCTGGTGTCTCTACCTATTTCTTTCCTAAATGTACTTGTGTTTAGAAACTGATGAAAAGCTCCATTAGCAATTAGGGAACATTCCAATTTGTGCCTTTTCCGGTGACTTAATCTTATTACAATTAAAACAGATGCATAATTAAAATATATTAGGGAGAACAGCACGCCTGGCTAAACTTATTAACCGTCCTGGGGTGTTTCATGCTCCATTGAAATTGAACCATCCAAAAAGTGAGCATAGATTTACTTTGACAGCTTTTCATCAGCGCCTCTCTGCTTTGGAAAGTGAATTAATCCTCTGGGTTAGGGTGAGCTGGTGATTGGGATTCCGCAGAGTGGCTTTATGTGGAAGCGATGCTGCTTGAATCCTCCTATCTAGTGGTAACTGGCCACCGCAGTATGTCGGAGTCCTAGCCAAACTTAAAAAGTGAATATATGTGTATATAACGTATAGGTCAGTGATTCATGTTTCATATGCACATTGATCGGCAACAAACATTTCTAGCTGGAGTCTAAGGGTATTAACCTTTTGGAGCTTTCATTTAGCTAGGGTGTGTGAGGGGCAAGATTGAGAGGGGGAAATGACTAGGGCAGAGCTATTGCTAGATAACTTGTTCCAAACTTTCAGGCACATTAATGGGAAGGGAAAGGATCAGTTATGGCTTTGATTAGTCAATTGCCTTGGGAAATAGTCTCTGTACTGGAGTCAATTAATTACTGAATTTGGAATTTTCTTGCATTCTCTTACAGAGTATAACAGTGCACCTGCCATAGTTAAGGTCTACCACAGTTTCCAGAATAAACCCCTTTTTTCAAGGGTTCCTACTATTATACTGAAACTGAATGCCAAGTTTCAATTGTGATCCAACATTTTAGCCCTGGAACAGTTTACTTTACAGTTTGACTGTAAGCATTCAAACTTTAATCCTTCAAGTCAATTACATGTATTAGAAGAAGGTATGTGTGGTAGTTAAAATATTCTAGTTACCAGCCCTCCAGTTTTATATAGTGCTTCTTGTTTGTTTTAAAATGCCTTTAAAAAAACACAAAGAAGAAAAATCTTCTTCTATTTTGAAATGTAAGGTCTGATTTAGCTCAACTGAAAATGGGGAATTTTTTTGACACACTGACACTATCTGAACCCATCCCGTTACACTTAAGAACTGTAGGAATTTTGGAATAGTGTATTTATGTGAACTTAAGTAGCATGTATTGCAAAACTGGGTTGTTTAAGGACGTGGTATAAATCTTTGCTTCTACTGGCCAGTCCAAATTAGCTAAGATTGCAATGTCATTTGAAATACTACTTAGCATTATTGATGTGGCGGTCAAGGTCTCTTGATCCTACCATAATTGTGCCTTAATACCATTAGAAAATATTAGTGATGTTTAATTGCAGGCCATCTCTGAAAGAATGGAAAAGATAATCACATGGTATCCTCTTAACATTAATCTCACACTGTTTAAATTAAATTCTAAAATACGGGTTTGTTTATGTCTTTAGCTTTTAAATAAATTAAACACTTCTTGTAGTTGTAACTAAAAAATAGCAATTCACTGGGGTGCACTGAACTCCAATTAATGACATTTCTGTACAATAGGTCATCTAATTAGCACATTTTCAACTACCACACTGAAAGGGTCAGGAAAAACGAATGTTGCAAGATAGTAATAGCTTTTCCTAGCTCATCAACATGTTTAAAAATGGGATTCTCAGACCTAAAATGTTCTTTTAACTGTAATCGCAGAATGGCACTGCCCTACAGGAGCCTTCTTGAAAAGTAACACTAGATAAAGAGGTCAGTGCTGGAACTGCAGGACACAGCACCCCATGTGGGAGATGGATCATGCTTCTAACTTTAAGTGAATCAAGATTGTGCATTTAAGCTTGGAAACTGTAATGTTTGTTTCAGGAGGGCATCATGTTACCATAACTTTTTCTATTTCCTTTTCCACTACTTTGAAATTATATCAGAATCTGTTCTTTATATATATATAATGATCAAGCTTACTATATAAAAGGTGTCTGTAATTGCTTTCTGTATTTTTTTTTAATGTAGGTTGGTTAAGATTAAGTGGCATCGTAAAAACTTCTTATAGCAAAATCAATTTCCCTATGGTAAAACTTAATATTTTAGAGGCTTCATGATACCATACTGAAAACTGTGCATGATGGGGATATAACAAACTTACCTAGTCTAAGCTTTATTGTTTTATATCAAAGGGCTCAATATTTCTATTTTTCTCCCCTCTCACCCCATTCATCCAGTTAAATTGAAATGGAATGAATTTAAAGTCTTTGGTTAAGAAATATAATAAGAAAATCTGTACATCCCTTCCTTTAATTATAAATCCATATAATTTATGTGAAGTGTACTTGAAAGCTATACTTGTCTGTGGAATATTAATAAGGAGAAGGAACACGTGTTGGTTTTCTTATGGTTCAGACTGGGCATTGAAAACTTTGAATGAAGTAGTGGCAACTAAACCAAAGTTCAGTATAATGGAGGGAGTCCCACCATTTTTCTATTCTCCTCTAATCCCAGAAAATTCAAATGATGCATGCAGAATTTACAAAAGCAAGTTTCTTTTCCTCCCCTCTGCTGCAATTTTCCTAAAAGGTCTTGATGTTTCTATATTGCATGCTTAGATCATGTGGAAAGACTCCCTCTCTTCATCTAGAAAACAAGGTAAATATTTTTTCCAGTTATCTCCCTATTTGGACAGTTGATCATTGGGAGATAGGGAGAAAATTGTACGAAAGAACAAGTTGAATAGGGAGTATAATACTTAAATGTTTGTGATATACCACATTGAGCTGACATTCCTGGTTAACACAGGTTTAGCTGAGCAAAATCAGTTGGAACTGATACAGTTGTATTGGGGGAAGGTAATTCCCATGACTGGGCTGTGTTGAAGATTTTCTTGCTGTTTGTTGCCGTGTGTTTAAATCCAATTTCTTTCCAGATTAAGGGGGCTAATTTCCAGTCATATACATGAAATTCTCATTCATGGTAATGAGAATTGCACTTATGTACCAGTATGACAGGGAAGATGTCTGCTGCTGCAATTAGACTATCACACTTGCACAATTGCTTTTGGTTACCCACTTGTGCTTGACTTTAAATTGCAGTTTTTGTTTATCTGGCTATTGGGTGCTTTGCTGTGATAGTGTAGTCTGTGGTGTAACTTGTGCTAGGTCACTGTCAGTGTACAACTAGGATGTGCAAGATTTAGTGCTTCTGGTACCTAAGCACCAGAAGAGGAGGGATACCTTAGTGGTTTGAGCATTGACCTGCTAAACCCAGGGTTGTGAGTTCAATTCTTGAGGGGGCTATTTAGGGATATGGGGCAAAAATCTGTTGGATGACTTAATTGGGGATTGGCCCTGCTTTGAGCAGGGGGTTGGACTAGATGATCTCCTGAGGTTTCTTCCAACCCTGATCTTGTATGATACCTGAGATCATACATAGCTACAGTGACCATCTCAAAAACAACTCCTCCATTGAAGTGTTTTTGCTTTTCTACCAAGTACTTGAAGAAAAGCTCATTTTAAGGATAGTATTAGTATGACCTTTTTACCTTAAGTGATTAGGTAATCCTGTAGACCATTCATAAAACTGATGCATTTGAAAATACCTACAATTTTTTTTAAATAGCTGTCCTTTGCATAGACAGATGGAATTCCATTGTTCACCCTTACTTACAATAGTTATCGTAGACAAATGTAGACTGCATGCTATCCCCAAGTTTTACAATTTTGATTTATAAATCAAGAAGTTAAAGTGAATTACATGAGAAGAAATTCTTTGTAAGGTAGCCTTTTTATGAACTAATCGCTTGGGAAAAATAGCAATTTATATGAATAATAGAAAGTATGTTTCCCACCTTTATTACGTAGGAGGTTTATTCAATCAAATAAAATACAATAGACCAAATTTTTAGTT